GTTGGTTTGGTTAATTGGAATTTTTTATTAAGTTGGTAAATAAAAATTAATAAATTAAATGTGTTGGTTTGGTTAAGTGAAATTTTTTATTAAATTAATAAATATAAATCAGTGAATTAAAGTTAAATGGGTTGGTTTGGTTAATTGGAATTTTTTATTAAGTTGGTAAATAAAAATTAATAAATTAAATGGGTTGGTTTGGTTAATTGGAATTTTTTATTAAATTAATAAATATAAATTAGTGAATTAAAGTTAAATGGGTTGGTTTGGTTGAATGAAATGCTTATTAAATTAATAAATATAATAGTAAATTAGAGTTAAATGGGTTGGTTTGGTTAATTGGAATTTTTTATGAAGTTGGTAAATAAAAATTAATAAATTAAATGGGTTGGTTTTTTTAATTAAGTTGTTAAATAAAAATTAATAAATTAAATGGGTTGGTTTGGTTAAGTGAAATTTTTTATTAAATTAATAAATATAAATCAGTGAATTAAAGTTAAATGGGTTGGTTTGGTTAATTGGAATTTTTTATTAAGCTGGTAAATAAAAATTAATAAATTAAATGGCTTGGTTTTTTTATTAAGTTGGTAAATAAAAATTAATAAATTAAATGGGTTGGAATTTTTTATTAAGTTGATAAATAAAAATTAATGAATTAGAGTTAAATGGGTTGGTTTGGTTAATTGGAATTTTTTATTAAGCTGGTAAATAAAAATTAATAAATTAAATGGCTTGGTTTTTTTATTAAGTTGGTAAATAAAAATTAATAAATTAAATGGGTTGGAATTTTTTATTAAGTTGGTAAATAAAAATTAATAAATTAAATGGGTTGGAATTTTTTATTAAGTTGATAAATAAAAATTAATGAATTAGAGTTAAATGGGTTGGTTTGGTTAATTGGAATTTTTTATTAAGCTGGTAAATAAAAATTAATAAATTAAATGGGTTGGTTTGGTTAATTGGAATTTTTTATTGAGCTGGTAAATAAAAATTAGTGATTTAAAGTTAAATGGGTTGATTTGGTTAATTGGAATTTTTTATTAAGTTGGTAAATAAAAATTAATAAATTAAATGGGTTGGTTTTTTTAATTAAGTTGATAAATAAAAATTAATAAATTAAATGGGTTGGTTTGGTTAAGTGAAATTTTTTATTAAATTAATAAATATAAATCAGTGAATTAAAGTTAAATGGGTTGGTTTTTTTATTAAGTTGTTAAATAAAAATTAATAAATTAAAAGGGTTGGTTTGGTTAAGTGAAATTTTTTATTAAATTAATAAATATAAATCAGTGAATTAAAGTTAAATGGGTTGGTTTGGTTGAATGAAATGCTTATTAAATTAATAAATATAATAGTAAATTAGAGTTAAATGGGTTGGTTTGGTTAACTGGAATTTTTTTATTAAGTCGATAAATAAAAATTAATAA